CTGCGACCGCCGCCGCTTGAGCCATCCCGGGCGGCACCGAACACCGTTTCCGGTTCCCACTTCCGGCACGGCGTCCAATCGGCAGCCCGCCCAAGGCTTTTCGTTTTCGGCAGTAGCGGTCGGACCGGAGCCTAAGTCAATGAAGCGTGGTCCATGTGGGCAGGCGGGTCCCCGCAGTGGGCCCGCGGGTCGCCGGTCGGTCGGAGCCCTTGGCTTGAGTCGGTCGCCGAGCCTCTACTTCCGGTGTCTAGGGTCACCCGGTGGGATACTAGACGCTTGCACAAAGGTTCCGTGAGAACAATGGGAACTGAGCAGAGGGGCTTCGGGAACTGGCCCTTCTTTCTGACTTTACCCTCAGAAGTGAAAATATTTTCCTTTTCCACTATAAAACCTTTTTAGTTGTTGCTGAAGAAGACATCCACACTGTGCAAAACATAGAGAAGAATAAAAAGAAACTAAAACGTATTTGGCTTATACCCATTTGCCTCCCTTGCTAGGCTGTCTGTCAGGTAGTTCTCATTATTTGTAACCTAGGGTCTGGCACAAAATAGGTAATACTTGATAAAAGGATGTTGGGGTCCAACCCCAGCAGGTCCAGGGGTTCCCAAAGGTGTGGACCGAGTCCGTGAAGAAGGAATAACACGGAGACAGCGTTCAGTTGATCAGCAGCCTAGCCAGGTTCTCTAGCCAGGATCTCCAGCCAGGTTCTGTCTTTTATTGTCTTGTTACATCTGTACTTATACCAGTTGATTTTAATCCTGTCAATTTCTATTCCAAAGGTTAGGGCGTTTCTTATCTCCATTCCAGGGAGCAAAGATTATGTAGCTTAAGGGTGATTGTTCGTAGTTAAAGTGATTAACTACCCTCCTGGCATTTAGTTAAGGGGTTTTATTCCCTCCCTAACTTCAGGGAAAAATCCCTACCTGGGGAAACAACCTTTCTCGGAGAGGTGACCTTGGTTAAAACACATAGCACCAAGAAGGTGAGCAAACATATTAAGAACAGTATGCCATATACGCCAGGTCCCTTGAAACATATGCTGTGCAGATGTTTCTTCCCTGCAGCGACTGTGTCAAGCAGCAAGGATGGACCGGCTTACGGCAAAAGGATGTTAATCTTTTAGTGTGTATTTCTCCCTAGACTGTTTTCCTACAAATATACACATATCATGTGCACATTTCTACATGCTTGGGAAAATTGGTAACTGCAATTAAAACCTTGATGCTACTTCTCTGGGGCACACTTTATTTTCCCATCTTTTTTTTTTTTTTCCTCTTTTCAGCCTCACCTGAGGATATGGTTGAGAGAGAGAAAGAGAGAGAGAGAGAGGAAAGAGAAACATTCATCAGTTGCCTCCCCTATGCGCCCCCACCAGGGATCAAACCTGCAATCCAGGTATGTGCCCTAACCCAAATGGAACCCCAAAACTTTTGGTGTACAGGAGACACTCCAACCAACTGAGCCACCCAGCCAGGGCTCTGCTCATCTTTTTGAGGCATCTGCTTCCAATGTGAATTTTTGAAGCTTTTTAGGATGTTTAGGACGAACCATCTCTAACATGCCCTCCAAATCTGGCAACATACTTGTGAGCCAACTGAATAAGATGTCAACCGAAATGTAACTTTTGTTGTATATCAGTCAGATTGTAAAAATTGAACTTGATCAGTTACATGAAAAACCAAGTGTTACAGTTGCTGTAACAACCTGATTCAGAGTGTCAGCCCTGAAATTACAGATGATGAAATGGTTACCTCTGTGTGGAAGGAAGGCAGGGGTCAGGATAGGTGTCCTAAAACAGGTACTCTTTGAGTGAACCTTTAGCATTTTTTAGTTCATTGGTTTATAAAAATAACAAATTAACTACATGCTGATTTATATACATAAATTAATAGGAAAAGAGGCCATGGAAGGAATGTTAACATAAAGAATTTAAACATAAGTAAAGAATTTAAACATAAATGCTCAAAATTATCACTGCATAAATGAGCAACTACTTGCAACAGATGTTTTAAATCACAAAGAATTCTGGCTAGAAAGAACTAAAGAGAACTTTAAGGATTGTAAGAAGATCAGATATAAGGACCAGCCATTACCTCAGTACTGAACTAGAACACCCAAGGAAGAGCCCCTGCCCCTTGGAAGAACTGATTGAGACCTTGTTAGAAAGGGCATTGGCCATGGCTCATTAAATGGCAAGAAGTGACTGGAAATCTGTGCCAGTAGAACTTACTAGAAATCCACCCTCCAGAACTTGCTGGCACTTCAAGGGTGCTGAGGAACGCTATTCCTGGGAGGTTTCTCATGGAAGTTACAAAACTACCTGATAGGGTACTAGGGAAAATTGATGGTGGAAGCCGCCCTGATGCAGGAGTACACCAGAGAGCACATGGAGCCAGGAAGCACAAAACATTCCCCTTGCAGGGCCTTCTACCCGGAACGCTTATTTTCATGAAAACGATTTAAAGGCCCAACTCCTGCAGTGAAGGGTGAGTTTAGAGCTGAGTAGCAATACATTGATAGCTAGCCCAAGGTCTCTTGAGGTTGTAAGATCAACAAACTCATCAGTAACAGCAATACAGTAGAGTCTTCCCAGGCTCAAATGGCTTCACAGATGAATTCTACCAAATATTTAAAGAATTAATGCCCATTCCCCCTAAACTCTTCCAAAAAATAAAAAAGGGAACACATTCCAACTCATTCTATGAGGCCAGTATCCCTATATCATACCAAAGCTATCACAGGAAAAGAAAACTGCAGGTCAATATCCCTTATGAATATAGACACAAAAATCCTCAACAAAGTACTAACAAACTGAATCCAACAGCATATAAAAAGGATTACACACCATGACCAAACAGAATTTACCCCAGGAGTGCAAGGTCTTTTGAACACCTGAAATCAATTAGTGTAATACACCATATCAATAGAATAAAGGACAAAAACAACATGAACATCTCAATAAATGCAGAAAAAGGCATTTGAAAAGTCCAACCCCCTGTCAAGATAAAAACACTCAAACTAGACTAGAAAGGAACCCCATCAACCTATAAAGGGCATCTACAAAAAATCCACAGCTAACATCATACTTAATGGCAAAAGACTGAAAGGTTTACCCCTAAATTAGGAACAAGACAATGAAGTCTACTCCCTCCACCTCTACTCAACATTGTACTGGAGAGTCTATCCCAGGCTTGTCAGCAAGAAAAGAAGTAAAAGGTATCCAGATTGCAAAGGAAGTAAAACTATCCAGTGGAATTACTAGTAAAATGGTATTAATGCCCACTCTACAGAGCTGGTGTGAGGATTAAATGAGGTTACATATATAAAGCTCCCAGATTGGTGTCTTGGGCCAAAGTGGATTCCCTCCTTCTCTGCCTCTCCCTACCCCCAAATAATAGGTCGTCTGAGGTTAGGACACCTCTTCTTTTCTTTTCCCCTACTCTTTTCCTTGTCCAGCACCTGATGGGCCTCAGAGGCCATTTCTTTTTTTTTTTCTTTTTAATATATTTTATTGATTTTTTTACAGAGAGGAAGGGAGAGGAATAGAGAGTTAGAAACATCGATGAGAGAGAAACATCAACCAGCTGCCGCCCGTACACCCCTTACTGGGGATGTGCCTGCAACCAAGGTACATGCCCTTGCCCGGAATCGAACCTGGGACCCTTTAGTCCGCAGGCTGACGCTCTATCCACTGAGCCAAACCGGTTAGGGCAAGAGAGAGAGACCATTTCTTGAATTAAGTAATTCATTTGACACATTTCCTAAGCCACCATTGTATGTCAGACACTCCTCTGGGGGTATAGTAGTGAACACGTTAGAAAAATGCATAGACTTTCAAACAGTCTGGAGAGGGGGAAACAATGAACAACTAAACAAAATAAAAGAACAAGTTGACTGTAAATGGTGTTAAGTATCATGAAGAAAATAAAATAGGATGTTTGGTAGCGAGGGACTGGCAAAGAATGTGTAAGTGAATGGGTAGGTGAACAGATGGGTGCACAACTCTGTTGCTAAAATATGGCTGAGCCTGTCTAGGTTCTTCTGAGCTGCTATCCAGGGCTGGCGGACAGGTCTCCTCTTTTTCTGCAGGCCAGCTCAGCAAAGCTGACAAGAAGCTAACGGTGCTTGTCCACAGTGACAGTACAGGGTGTAGCTGAAGAACCCAGTGCTCTCTCACCAGGTTCGCATCCACGCTCCCTGTGCCAGTTTCAGGGCACCTTCAAACCTGAGAAAAGGAGAAAAGCCCATGCCACTCTGAAATGCAGGGAACACACACCTCCAGCTCATGCCATTGCTTGAGTTACTTCCAGTCCCCATCACTGTACCCACCTGCTTTGTGTTTGTATGTTTGGGACTAGGTGTTAGCTGAGCCCCTCTAGCTTTGTGCCAGACCTGGTACTAGGTACTTGGCATACATTCTCTCGCATGCGCACAATTCCCCCTCTACATTGCACCTTATTATAACCCTTGAGGTTCAGAGCGGTAGCCTATCATGGGGCATACAACTGGAATGTAGGAAGTGGTGGAGCCCATTTTCAAAGTTTGCATGCTTTCTGCTACATTATAATGTTTGCATTTTCCAGCATGAATTTAATCTACCCACTAATTATCCCTAAATGGGCTCAAACCAGTTCTGTAGGTTTTCTTTTCTTTCTTGCTGCTGGCCCCAAGCCTGAGTCAGTTTGCCTCCCATTTTGGAACTGCCTCCATCTACTCTTTCCCAACAAGACTGGTTGTAAAATGGGCCTCGATCCTCCAACCAACAGTGTACCTTCTCCTTGATTCATCCAAAGTCAGGTCCTTTGGGTGTCAGAGGTCACGTTAATT